TCGTAACATTATTGTGTGCTGATAGATCCATGCCAAAAAAATCATCCTTTTTTCTTAAAAAAAAAAATAATCCTTCATTTCAGTGCACCATTTTGATATCCATCCTTTTTCTTCTTCCAATTTTTTTCTTCAGGCATAGGGAATTTTGGGAGGAGGGGGGATTGTCAATGATTGTCACTATTGCGACTTGAACATATTAGCATGGGTCAAAAATTTTGGTGTACGTCACTAGCCCACTTGGGGTTGCAAATACTTTTGATACCATTTCTTAAAATTTTGATAAATTGTAATTGTAAGTGATAAATAAATATTAATATCAACTATTGCTAACTAATTGAATTTTAATTTTAAGGGTTAAGTAAATTTTGATTCAAAAAATTGTTACTTAGTGAAAACATGAACTAGTTGGTAGCTTTTTTCACTAATTTGATTTCTTATGGCTAGACGCTAGAGCTATAAAAAATTATAGCTTATGAAATTGAGCTTTTGCTGCTAAAATTTATGAATGTGGTATATTTTTTATTTTTAAATTATTTATAATTATTTTATAAATTTTCTTGTTTCATTAATTAATACAAAATTTCAACTCAAAGCTACTCACTAAAACTCTATATAATATAGTTGTGGTTTTTTTGTTTTTTATTTAAGTTTTTATAAATTTTACAATAATAAAAAACTCAAAATAAAACTCAAAATTTAAAATTTTTTGAAGACAAGTCTATCTAATAATCATGATAATAAATTACAAAAATAAATAAAAACAAACAAATTTTTGTTTAAAATTATAAAATTTATAAAAACTAAAATAAAAAACCACAACAACATTAATAATGCAGCCTAAGATAAATTTAAGCGGGCTCAACAAATCACTTTACCGTAAGGCCCAATTATACTGTCACTATCTTGGGTATTTACTTCTAGGCCCAAATTGTTGGACTTGGGTTGAGTTCCAATCTCCTTTCTCTTTGCTTCGTTGTTCGTCTTCCACTTCCTTACAGGTTCTAATGGCCGTACTAAGACGACAAACAGAAGACGGTTGCCGGTTTAGCGTATTAGTGGCGTCACAGTAGGTGATGTAATGTAATTCCTTTATCCTTTTCCTCTTGTGCATGTATTGGTTCGCTGGAACTGTTGATTAAATTTTTTGTCACAAGGTGAAAATTTTATTAGTGCTCATGCAAATATGGGTATGATACTCTGTAATTTCTCTGAAATGATTCTTGGGTAATGATCCTTGATTTGATTAGAAAACACCCAAGAAGAAATTGGTTCAGACAATTTTTCTTTGGTGATTGTATATGGTTCAAGTTGGAACTTGAATTAAGCTGGGAAAGCATTGTAGCAGGTTGTTGTTTTCCAACATAAGCTCAACTCTCAGTTGCTCAATGAGCCCAGGTCAAATTAGATTGGTATGAACCAACTTGTGCTTGATTTAGCCATTTCAAGAATAAAGCTTCCATCTTTTTGGTGCTTGGAGCTTCCTGGGCAGAAAAAGAAAGTTACTTTATTCATAATTCTTCATGTCTTTACCACACGTCCTAGTGGGGAAGCTTATTTTATTTCCATGTGGTTTTTGAAGTTTGTTGAAGTTAGGTATAGTTTCCAAAATTTAGGGATTGAATAAGAACTCAATGGCATTCATGGATTCAGGGTGGCCTTAACAACATAGGTTTGGCAATGACCCCATTTATTGTTCTCTAGTTGGTCATCTACTGCTGCTAAAGTTTCATTCTGTTCCTGCCTTTCTACCCTGGCAGTGGGTTCAATTCTATTCCTAAGTTAATTTTTACATCTCTGTTATTTCTGTTGCTGTTTGTTTAATATATCCAGTCAGTGGTTCAACATAAGACACTCCAGTGTTAGTTTAGCTCACATGGTACTCAGTTTCATGATGTTTTGGCTTGTTTTCTGCCTTTAATTCACTAATTCTACTCCTTTATTTGAAAGTAAACATGAAAGTAGTGCTTTCTGAAATTCAAACATACTTCTGTTCTTGTGATTGCTACTGTCTAAACAAGTATGTCTTTTTTTTTTTGCCAAAAAAACTAGTATGTTGTTATAACCGTTGCTTTTGCTGAAGCTATGATGCTACAATTTTCATTTCCAACTTCGGTACAGAAATAATGACATATCTATTGCTAATGCTGCTCCCATTATATACGGTGCTGGTGGACGGACAAAGTGCTGGTGCTGGTATCACCACTTTCCAGACAGCTTATAGTCCCTCCCCAATTGTACTGCACTATTAGTGCTAGTCATTTTCATTACCCGCTCATCATCAGCATCACCAGCATCATCATGAAGTCCTTTGGTGGTTCATTAATTGTTTTTCATAGTAGATGGTCTATTCCATGCCATTATAGGATGGGTCTTTAAAGATGCACCATGTGGACAACATGTTGTTAGTATTTATTTATTTTTACAGCAGTAGAGGACATTTATACAGAGGGAGAGATGTGGACAACTCAATGGAAGAAAAGTTTATGTCGATAGCAGTTGGAATGAGCAGGAGACACTATAGTTGGATCTGTAAGTGACGAAATGAAGGTTGTTTGCACTGTGCTTGTGCATGCTCCCATGCAGCAAGGCTTTGTGATGGGGTTGAGTTTGAGTTGAGAGATAAATAATGCATTTGAGCTTGTTAACAAGGAAAACTTCCAATTGGACCAGATTACTTGGGTGAATCCTGCTCAAGATAAGGCAGAGGAAGCATGTCAAAGATCCCTACTTGTGCATAGTGCATTGCCTAAGGTATGAATCCATTGTTGGAAACACCATTTAATTTAATTTAATTTTTTTTTATGCATTTCTGTTTTTTCTGTTCTGATGATAATGTAGAAATAGAAGAAAGGGAAGAAAGAAAGAAGTCCTTGAAAGACTTAACCAAAGTGCTGCATTTGATTGTGGCGAGTGCTAAAATATTGGCATTTGAAGATAAACTATATTTTTAACCCTTCCAGATTGAAATGATGTCTCTCAGAGTTGATGCCTATTTATTTGCATGGATTATTTCCTTGTAAATGCAGTCTTGATCTGCTTAATTGGATGCAATATATCTAATTAGGAGAAGATTGGTTTCTGCTGAGTTTTCTCATGGGTAAATAATCAAGACGCTTATCAAAGAATTACTACCTCCTTCCCCCTCCCTTCTTGTGTCTTTGTTTTGGCCACTTCATCTCTTGTTTCTTTCTATATCTTGTCTGTGATGATCCTCTTTTCTGTGGCCATTCAAGTTTTGGTATCAATACCTCTTTAGTTGCAAGATGATGACTCCAGGGAAAAGCAATTTTTCCAATTATTGTCTGGATAATTAGAGCACGCTGAGGTCATTTGCTCTCTGAGAAAGGGAAAATGCCCTCTTTTTTTTTTGTTAGTGTCAAGTCTCTTATCTAGGAAAACTGCAAAACTGCACTGCCCTTGCTACTCTTTTCATGTTTCATTTTTGGGTTTCTTTTGTGCTTTTGGTACTTCTTTCCAGGTGGTCAAAGTGACTAATACTTGGGGTTAGAACTTCAGTCAGTTTTAGAAATTTGGCTGATTCGTCCCTCTTTTCCATTCCAATTTTTTTAGTAGAAAACAATATAGTAATTAAAGACCAGATTCTATGTAAAAAAGGAGAGCACAATTATTTTGGCATACATCTGCAGTTTCTTTCTGTTAAAGAGATTGCAAAGGTACATCCATTCCTTATTCTCAAATTAATTTCACTCTTACTAGATGCAGTGTCTGATTTTATGTTCACTATTATTAGGATAACTTTTCTACCTTCATTTCATGGTGCTTGGTTCTTTTCTAATGTATCTGATCTTTTCTTCCAGAACCTGAAGTGCAAAGTGCTGAACTCCAACATCTTCTCAATCTCCTCAATGGGCAGCCCCTTCGTTTCAGGCACACAGACTAGGACAAAGATCAAAGCCACTACTGAAACAACCCCAAATATAAGGAAAGTCCATGAAGTTCCTATTGCCTGGGTCAGTGACAGGAAGGACTGGGCAACTATGAGGTTTGATATCCAGCATGCCGTTGCAGCTATTCCACCACAGATGCCTCTAAACCGTAGGGGATAGATCTCAGAATTGACTACCCATGGTACAGTTCCCATCCCAGGAGAGAAGAATATGATGTAGAGAGCAAGACCAATGAGCGCAAGCCATCCATATCTGCTTGGGCATCCCCTTGTATACCAGGACCTACTTTGCTTCTGGCAGAGTTCCTTCACTGTGTCATTTGAGATAACACATGCTCCTGGCAGTAGCTGTAATGAAATGAATTTGTGATGGTGATGATGATGATGATTACTAGAAAGAAATTGTCAGAGCAATTAAAGTAAGTAATGACGATAAACAGGAAACGTGTTTGTTTACCTTGTTGGTTGCTGAAGCACAGAACCCGCAATCTGGAGATGTAGCCTTCAAGCACTTCATGCAGTCCCAAGCACCGGAGTTTGCTGCTGAACTGTAGTCAGGACAAGTGTAATTTGAAAAGCGATTTGTTTCAGTTGTGCTGACCATTGGTGAGTGGGTTGTAGTCACTTCGAAAACTCCTGACAGGATCCCAAGAGAGATCATCACGCCAATCAAACTGATGAGAAGCAGCTTCTTTCTACCTGTCCTGTCAATGAAGTATATGCTCACAATGGAGCCAGCAGCATTGAGTCCAGCCGTGACAAGAGAAAGGAGGAGTGCAGTTTGGTTAGAGGCAAAACCAGCCAACTGAACTATGGTGGGACTGTAGTACATCACGGTGTTTATGCCTACAAACTGCTGAAAAATTGAAAGTCCAACACCAGCAAGAAGTCCTCTTCTAACAGTTTTGGTTTTCAGCAGTTTAATGATGTTAATCTTCTCAGTAGATCCTTTTTCCTGGATTTCTGCCTCAATTGATTCTTTTAGATCTTGAATTTCCTGTTCAACTTGATGTTCCGGGTAAATTTTCCTTAGAATTACCTCGGCTTCTTCTTCTCTCCCCTGTTACTCAAAGGACAAAAATATTAATTATGATAGAGCTTGAAATGGATTATAAGTTTGAAGCAATAGTTTCTGGGAAAGGATGAACCTTGCGGTACAGCCAACGTGGAGATTCAGGAAGAAGAATCATTAGAATGAACTGTAGAAGGGCTGGAAGGCCGGCAATTCCGAGCATCCACCTCCATGGGCTGGGTGCCTTGGTAAAGGCCAAGTTGATGAGGTAAGACAAGAACTGACCACCAGTTATGAGAAATCCATTGGTACTAACGAGGGCACCACGGATTTTGGCCGGAGAAGCTTCTGAAATATACAGGGGAGACGTAATCGATGCCATTCCCACACCAAGCCCAACAAGAACTCGACCAACAATGAGAAGAGCAGGACCAGGAGCAGAGGCCATGACCACAGCTCCTATGAAGAAGAGAGCATCTGCAATTAACAATGCACGTCTTCTTCCATACCGGTCATTCATCCACCCGCCAATTGCGGCTCCTATGATGGCTCCGGCAACTGCCATGCTCACTATGCTCTCCTGTACACATGCATGACACGATTCTGATTAATACAGCATCATACTAGTTGAAGCCTTGTGTTTGTAGTGGACTAACCCTAGTCCTAAGCTTGCCTACTTGCATTCATTCAAAAGCAGTAATGGGTAACACCTCATTTAAATTCTATAATTAGAAAAAATTTTGTTTTGCCCTAGTAATACTTGTGATTATGTGCACGTTACAGCTTTCTCAACCAATAAAAAGTCAACACCTAAAAATGCTCTTTATTTCATGCTGATTGTTTTTGGGTGACCAATCTTGCGCCAGTTGCAGATGCAAAGCCCTAGAGGTATGTATGA